TTTTTTATTTGGATCACTATAACAATGAGCCCTTTGTGATTTGAATGACTTTTTCACAGGGTCACATAACAGTAACAAAATTAGTCATGAAGTAGCAACGAAATAACTTTGTGGTTGGGAGGTCACCACAACATGAGGAACTGTAGGAAAGGGTCCGCTGCACTATGGTATACAAGTGGGAGTCAGAGGACAACTGGAAGGAGTCATTTCTTCTGCCCTGGGACTCCAGGAGTAGGACCTGTGTCTCGTAGGTGTGACAGCAAACACCTTTACTTGCTGAGCCATCTCAGTGGCCTTTTTGAAACTTTGAATGTAGTGTGCGAGTGTGTAGGTCAGAGGACAATTCTGAGGAGTCGGTTCTCTTCCAGGGTTTGAGTATCAGTCTCAAGGTTGTCAGGATTACAAAGCAGTGGTTTAACCAGCTGAGCCACCTTGCAGGCCCTTCTCTTTGGTTTGTGTGTCCTGGATGAATGTCTTCCTGGGACTCCTGCCAAAGCTGGCAGACAGTGCTCAGTCATAATTGCAGAGTGACTGATCACAGCCAGAGAGCTAAGAACAGGAACCACAGCTTCCTCTATTTTCTCGCTAGGCAGGTCTTCCACCATCGACTTCCTGAAGATAAGCTGAGCACCAGATGCCAGCCTTTGCAACAGTGGTCCTCATTCTTCCTAACACCACAGCCCTACAGTTCCTCATGTTGTGGTGACCCCATCCATAATTTTTTTTTTGCTACTTCATAACTAATTTTGCTACTGTTATAAATCATAATGTAAATATCTGATATGCAAGATATGTAATGCATGGCCTTTGGGGGGTCGTGAGTCACAGGTTGAGAACCACTGCTTTATAGGCTCAGGCCAAAAGGGCAAAGATGAAGTGTAGCCTCAGGAAAAGATCTTGTCCAATGAGACTATAGTGTGACATTGCAGATCTGGACTCAGACCTCAGGCCAAAGTGGCCAGCTGCTAAGGGTTGGGTTTGGTTGGGAATAAAATACCAAATAACTGCCACCATGGACTCCATCCTTCCCTTGCTTCAGCCTCATGTCAGCATGTCAGGCAGAGAAAGGTCAGGGTTAAGCACGTTCTCTCCCTGGAGAGACAGCCCTCAGACACTGCACTTGTCTTTTCTGATGGCATTTCCACTCGCCGTAAACCTGTCACATAACCTTTGTCATAACTTGGGCCAAACCTAGTTCCAAAGAAAGCTGAGAAATGTGTGGCATTTGAGGGCAGGGGTGTATTACCAAGCAGAAATAAGGAGAAATCATGAGGCATTGCACAGGCTCTGATGGGCTGGTCCAGATCAGTCCAGCTGATGACTTTTCTTCTGCCACTCAGCGTCTGTTTCCCAGGACTGAACTGCCTGATGACAGCAGCGAGGAGTCTTTGAAAGCTGACATTCAGAAACTGAAGGAGAAACAGGACATGCTGGACAAGGAGATTTCCCAGTTAGTAAAAGAAGGCTACTGTGTGATTGAACTAGAGGACCATATCGCTCTTCTCCATGAGTACAGTGACATCAAGGATGTCGCACAGATGCTTCTGGGAAAGCTGGCTCTGACCCGCAGTGTCACCACCAAGGAGTTATATCCAGATTTTGATCTAGAACTGAGTGACTGAGGAGAGTCTTGCAGATGTTTGTCTACAGCCCACAGGGACAAGTGGATGGAGACATGAAAAACAGTCCTGACAGTACATTCATATGGTTTCCAGATAAAAAATGCTAGAAGCCCAAAATTTTCTAACGGGCCCAAACTAAGTTTAGGGTGGGGCTTAGAGAAGAAGGGTGTTGGGAGGGGTGGGTATCGTCAGTTCTAAGATTGTTAGTGTTCTTGTGAATGGGTGTGTGGGGTTCTCCTTCTGCTAATAAACATGAGCAGTCTCTGTGTGGTTCTGATCCCGTTCCTCTACCAGTCCTAGTCACATCCACCATGGACCACGGCAGCTGATAATTCTCAGAACCCCCATAAAGGTAGAAAGAGAAACTCTTTTTCACAAAGCTCTTGTGCACCATGGCACACATGCCTCCTACACCGTGCACATATATACATTAATACAATAATACCAAAGTTCCAAGCCAGCCTAGGCCACACAGGCTACAGTACAAGACCGTGTCTCAAAAAGACAATAGACAGATGTCCGGAAAGCTGGCTCACATGCCTTTAATCCCAGCACTTTGGAGGCAGAGGCAGGCAGATCTCTGTGGTTTGAGGCCAGCCTGGTCTACAGAGTGAGTTCCAGGACAAAGATTTAAAAAAATGCTTTTGCAATTTGGATGTTCAGTGTTTAGGAATTCTGAATTTTCAGGTCCAGAGTTTTGCCTTTTATAAGTTTTTAAAAGGTTTGTTTGTGTGAGCTGCAGAAACGGCTCAGTGGCTAAGTTGCTGTTAAGAGGTTGCTGTTAAGGCTAAGTAGCAGAGGTCCTAAGTTCAATTCCTACAACCATCTGTAGTGAGATTTGGTGCCCTCTTCTGGCATACAGGCAGAATACTGTATAGATAATACTGTATAGACAATAAATAAAAATTTAAAAATAAAAGGTGTAGGGCGGTGCTGTGTGAGTGCAGTACCCTCTGAGGACAGAGGGGGCACTGGATCTGGATTAGGGGGCTGTGAGTTGTGTGACCTGACATGGGTACTGGACCTGAACTCAGGTCAGGGTAACAAGTGCTCTTAACCGCTGAACTCAGGTGATCCTCTTGTTGGTCATGGCAAGTATTTTACCAACTGAACTATCTCCTCAGTTCTCTCTTTTTATTTTTTCATTTTTGCTTGGAAATTGAACCGCATGCTTGATAGGCAAGTGTGCTATTGAACTAATCCCTTAACTTTTTTGTTTATTTATTTTGGTTTTGAATTTTTTTTTTTTAGACAGTGTTTCTCTGTGTGGCCCTGGCTGTCTTAGAACTCGCTCTGTAGACCAGGCTGGCCTTG